GTATTATGCTTTTTGGAGAACCATCTATATGAAATCAAATTGACAACAGCAACTCGAAAGGTTAGATAGGAACCTTAGGGGGCAATGAGTTTATGCTAATGAGGAAGGAGCAACTCAGAAAAGGAGGGTGAGAATGGTTGTACAACTCGAAGAGTGTAATCAGTGTCACTGAATTGTACATGGACAAATTGTTGACTTGGTGTGTGTTTTGCTGTGTATATTCTCAACGACAACAATAAAATAAAAGGAAAAAAAAATAAAAGGATTACAGCCTAGGAAACCCTATGGGGCAGTTCTACTCTGTCCCATAGGGTTGCTATGAGTCAGAATCCACTGGATGGCAATGGGTCTCATTTCTTACTGACATTCTTCTCTCAATAAAATGGATAATCCAAGCTGTAAGAAAAAAAAAAAAAGAACTGTGGGTTGGTGGGTTTTTCCTGAGCAGGCTTTGTGTGTCTTTGATGATCTCCTTCTTTCCCTTTTCAGGGGATGAGCTGCCCGAGCTGGACAACATGGCTGACCACTGGCTGGGCTCAATTGCCCGGGCCACAATGCAGACCTACTGTGACGTGATCCTCCAGATCCCTGAGCTGACCCCGCATTCCACCAAGCAGCTGGCCACTGACATTGGTAAGTCCCCGTGGGACAGGCAATGGGATGGTCAGCTCTTACCCTTCACCTCTGTCAGTGCTCTCTCTAGGAATCTTATCCCACTTCTCCTCGTAACTTCAGCTCTGGATTTGGCTGTGAAGCTTGTTAAAAATGCAGATTCTCTAGGCCCTGTCCCCCAGGATTCTGACTTAGTAAGTCTGGGTTGAAGCCCAGACATCCGTATTTTGATGGGCTGCCTAGGCTGAGAACCACTAAGAGGCGCTTCAGTGAGATTTACCAGTTCCTGTCGGGTCAGCTCTGACTCATGGCAACCTCATGTGTGTCAGAGTAGAACTGTGCTCCATAGGGTTTTCAGTGGCTGGTTTTTGGAAGTAGATCTCCAGGCCTTTCTCCCAAGGCT